TCCTCACGCCGCACAGCCCCCCCTCCAGCGCCTCTTCCGCGACAGCTGGCGGCTCCTAGAAGGACTTGGGTTGAGGGTTTAAGGGGCTTAAGGGGTTTAAGGGGCTTAAGGGGCTTAAGGGGCTTAAGGGGTTTAAGGGGTTTAAGGGGCTTAAGGGGCTGAAGTGGTTTAAGGGGTTTAAGGGGCTTGAGGGGTTTAAGGGGCTTAAGGGGTTTAAGGGGTTTAAGGGGTTTAAGGGGTTTAAGGGGCTTAAGGGGCTTAAGGGGTTTAAGGGGTTTAAGGGGTTTAAGGGGTTTAAGGGGTTTAAGGGGTTTAAGGGGCTTAGGGGGTTAAGGGGCTTAAAGGGGTTTAAGGGGTTTAAGGGGTTTAAGGGGTTTAAGGGGCTTAAGGGGCTTGAGGGGCTTAAGGGGTTTAAGGGGTTTAAGGGGCTTAAGGGGCTTAAGGGGTTTAAGGGGTTTAAGGGGTTTAAGGGGTTTAAGGGGTTTAAGGGGTTTAAGGGGTTTAAGGGGCTTGAGGGGCTTAAGGGGCTTAAGGGGCTTAAGGGGTTTAAGGGGTTTAAGGGGTTTAAGGGGTTTAAGGGGCTTAAGGGGCTTAAGGGGCTTAAGGGGCTTAAGGGGCTTAAGGGGTCCATGGCTGGGGTACAGGGGGTTTGGAGGTTTGGGGCTGAGGATTTGGGCTTGAGATGGTTGTGGATTGCTTCAGGCGTTTTCGAGACCCTAACCAGAATACCCACAGGATGTCGGACGCTTCCATGGGTTTTTTTCAATAAGCAAGGCTAAGAAAGCATAAGGAAACTACCTCGGGGTCCTTTTTAGGGTCGCACGACTAAAGCCCCTTCCTGAGGCCTGGCGAGGGGCTAGGAAGCTCATAGCAAATTACTTAGGATGTTCCCCCTTAGACTAACAGTCCTTAATCGGGATTCTAGAACCCCCCGAAAGAATCCCTATTAAGGACTGCTAGTTTAAGGGGGAACATCCCAACAAATGACCCCCCCAAACTCCACAGGTCTGCTGGGAAGTCATGCCCTGGATTCCGCTGCAGCTTCCGACCGCCCCCAAGGAGGCGGGCACTGGCACTCCCACTGCGATGCCACATGCCAGCAGAATCAACTTCAAACTCCTCAGGGTTTAGGGTTTAGGGTTTAGGGTTTAGGGTTTAGGGTTTAGGGTTTAGGGTTTAGGGTTTAGGGTTTAGGGTTTAGGGTTTAGGGTTTAGGGGTTTAGGGCTGACTGGCCGAAACTCGGTCCACCAAGGCAGTCCACTTCCCACGACTGGGCTCCTGCTTCTGATGGCAGTTTATATGGAGTTTAGAGTAGAGGTTTAGGGTTTGGTTTAGGGTTTAGGGTTTAGGGTTGAGGGTTGAGGGTTGAGGGTTGAGGGTTGAGGGTTGAGGGTTGAGGGTTCAGGGTTCAGGGTTCAGGGTTCAGGGTTTAGGGTTTAGGGTTTAGGGTTTAGGGTTTAGGAACGTCCTCGCCCTCTGTACGAGGCTCCTGTGGCGGGGCCGGCTGCGCTGCAGCTTTGGGAGCCTGCGCGGCATCAAGAGGGTCGCAGCCCCGAGCCATCAGGTTCAGGGCTCTTAAGGGAGGGTTTAGGGTTTAGGGTTTAGGGTTTAGGGTTTAGGGTTTAGGGTTTAGGGTTTAGGGTTTAGGGTTTAGGGTTTAGGGTTTAGGGTTCAGGGCTCTTGAGGGAAGGAGGGTTCAAGGGGGGGTAGGTACCTGGGAAACCTTAGGGAAGCTTCGGGAGCCTTAGGGAGTATAAGGGAAACGTACATAGGTTCCTCATGGAGCCAAGGGCAGCTTCCCCAAGGTTCCGGGCACAAGCTCGTCCGAAGCAAGACTGACGCAGGACAGCTCAAGTTCAGATTAGGGTTTAGGGTTTAGGGTTTGGGGTTTGGGGTTTGGGGTTTGGGGTTTGGGGTTTGGGGTTTGGGGTTTGGGATTTAGGGTTTACTGTTTAGGCTTATGGGGTTTGGAGTTCATCTCTATGAAGCTTCTCGGTACCCTAGACAGCTGCCTCAACAGAAGCCCTAGCTCCTTCTCTACTAATTCCCTAAGAACCCCCCCCCCCAACAAAAATGAACAATATTCTTCCTTCTTAAGGGCCCTGGAGCCGTAAACCCCGACCAAAGCCTCCAAGCGGCAAAAACCTGAAATCCTCAACTCTAAACCTCAAACACTATTAGGTTGGGGTTTAGGGGTTAGGGTTTGAGGGTTCAGAGCTGGAAATCCTCAACCGTAAGCCCTGAACCCCAGAGGTTGCGGTTTGGGGCTTAGGGCTTTTTGGGGCTTTAAGGCTTTGGGGTTTGGGGGCCTCTGAGGCTAGTTACATGGTCCCTTAGTATGGGCCCTTAAAAGGGTACAAAGGAGGTTAGGGACCACATTAAGAGCCCGTGAAACGACCGTCAGATACACCCGAAACCCTCCGCCCTAAGCCCTAAAGACCCTAGACTAAACCAGAAACCCCAATACTCTTTAAGGACCAGATAGCCCTAAACTCTAAACCCTAAACCCTAAACCCTGAACCCTAAACCCTAAACCCTAAACCCTAAATAAGGGCCCATGAAACTACCCTTAGAGGCCCTTAGGGCTGCAGAGCCTAGGCCCCAAACCCGGTTTCCCCCCACTTGAACGCAGGTCCGGCCTTCCGGGGCCGAGCCGCCTACCGAGCTTGTGAGGGTTTAGGGTTTAGGGTTTAGGGTTTAGGGTTTAGGGTTTAGGGTTTAGGGTTTAGGGTTTAGGGTTTAGGGTTTAGGGTTTACCTATGAAGGGAGTTCAGGGCGCCGCACGACATTTGTGGACTGAACATGCCCAAGCCCAAGCCTGGTCTAGCCCCGATATACCGAAGTCGCCCCTGCATTACCCCTAAGGGCCCTTATAATTGTCCCTCCTTTAGTCCCTTGCTTAAAGGGTTCCTCAACAAGCCTAAACCGGAACCCTAAGACCCCAACGCACTGCAGCCCTAGCACCCTAGATCCCCAGAGCTCTACTCCTAAACGCTAAACTCTAAAGCCCACAAACCCCTAAAGCCCTAAAACTCCGAACTATGAACCCCAAAACCCATAAGCCCATAATTCCCCTTAAAACCCAAGCCCTAAACACCATGAAGCCCTAAGCTCTGCAACCAAGACACTTACAATGGACAAGATCCTCGAACCCTACACAGATAAACCTAAAAACCCTGAAACAGGTGGAGGCCGGAACTTCTCTAAAGTCCCTTCATCGGGTGCAGCTAGGGTCTTTACTAGGCTTTTGTTCGTATCTAACCCACCCTAACCCCTAAACCCCAAACCATAAACCCTAACAAGCCCTAGTAAGCCCGCCGCAAAAAAAAGTCCTAAACTTAAGCCCTCAAACCCTAAACCCTAGCCCTAAACCCCAAACCCTAAACCCTAAAACCCCTACACTCTAGACCTCGGAGGCTTCGAGCCACCCATGATGTGCCTTCGCAGCAGCCGGCGCAGCCGTCGCTGCGGCCTCTGTCTCAGCCCAGGTAGGGTTTAGGGTTTAGGGTTTAGGGTTTAGGGTTTAGGGTTTAGGGTTTAGGGTTTAGGGTTTAGGGTTTAGGGTTCAGGGTTCAGGGTTCAGGGTTCAGGGTTCAGGGTTCAGGGTTCAGGGTTCAGGGTTTAGGGTTTCAGGTTTAGGGCTTAGGGTTTGGGGTTTAGGGGTTACGATATAGTAGTTTGAGGCTAAGTGTGTAGACTATATAGGTACATGGAGCTTTCAAGGTTCGAAAGGAGGGACCCTTACAAGGGACCTTTGGGGTTTATTTGGGGGTTATTTAGGGGCTACTTAGGTATAGGGACTATATCAGGTACATATAGGGGAATAAGACTAAGGGTCTCTTCTAGGGCAGGGGTCCCTCCTTATACCCCTTAAAGGTTTTAAGGGTGAGGATCTCCAGCAGCAGTCCGCGCCTCTGTGTTTCGCTTCTTTCGGGCTTTCCGGATTCTAGTGTTTCCCTAAAGCCCCAAACCCTACACCCCTACACCCCTACACCCCTACACCCCTACACCCCTACACCCCTACACCCCTACACCCCTACACCCCTAAACCCTAAACCCCGTGTTCCTGATTACTTTTGTCTTCTTTTTGTTTTTCTTTGGGGGGGTAGTGGGGGGGGGGGTGAAGGTTGGCTGTGATCTTGAACTGTCAGTCGCAGGCCTCACATAGAAGCGCGCGCCCTCCAAGCCCTGAAGTGCCACCACCCGAAACCCCAAACCCCTAAACCCTACACCCAAATCCCCAAACCCTAAACCCCACAGACCCTAAAGCGAAGGAACGTAAAGTAGAGAGAACCTACAACATGGTCTGCTCCCGAAGTTTTGGTAGCTTTTTTGGTCCCGATTCTGCACCGCCTCTTGAATTTAGGGCACCGAAGGGGCCCCATGACCACAGAGCTCTCGGACTTCAAGCACCGGAATGCCGACCCGAGAGTCCAAACATGCTGACACTTTAGGGTTTTAAGGGTTGACGAGGCATCTACGCCTAAGGTTGTACCACTAAAGTGGTCTCCTAAAGCCTAAAGCCTAAACCCTAAACCCGTGTGTCCTCGATACTCCCTGTGCGCCCTTGCCAAAGGGTGCCTATGGGAGCTCTTGAACCCAAGGATACAACCCCGAGAGGTTCGAGGAAAAGCCCCCCTTGGCCTACACAATGCTTGAGACCCCATGCCCTCTCAACCCTAAACTTTAAACCCAACCCTAAACCCTGAGCTCTCTAAACCCTAAACTCTAAGGGCTCGGGTACTCCTCCCTCAGATCCCCCCCAACATGCGTGCTTATCTCATGGCTATCCCTGGCTGTCTGGGATCCACAGAAACAGCACAGCGCAGAGAATACCTGCTCCGGGTCTGTTTTTCACTTCCTGCGTTTCTTCTCGATCTGATGTCCTGCATCCAAGTGCTCTGGCCGGATCTTGAGTTCGATATTCGAAGTGTCGATCGGCACAGGCTTCCTCTTCAAGGGGCCTGTGCAAGAATGAGTACGTTTGTAAGAATGACAGCTACACATGATAGCGATTGAAGAAGCATGCCAAAAGAAAGAAAGCACCTGCTGTTGGTTGCTTGGCTTTGGGTTCCACTGCTGGCGGCTTTGCTCTGCTTGCCTTTGACAAGGCTTTGGCCTTTTTGTCTTCTGTGGCTGGCTTGGCTTTGGCAGGTGCAGCGCTTGCCTTCGCACCGTCTTGCTTCTTGTGTTTGGAAATCTTCTTCTGCTTGCTTGATTTGCTTTTCTTCTTCTTTTTCTTGTGGCTGGAGCTGCTGGAATCACTGCTGCTGCTGCTGGCACTGCTCACTGAGGACTCCTGATTGTTGTCGCTGTCCGCATCCTGTTTCTCGGCGTCTTCTTCTGGGATCACCTCGGGCAACCCCGCTGCCTCTGCGTCCGGCTCGCCTGGGTCAAGCTCCCCTGCAAGAACCCGGTCCAATGCATCCTTCACTTGCGCTGCTGACGGCTTCGCTGTGACGTCCTTAGTGGCCACAGAGGCCGCATGTGACTGACTAGCAATGGTTGCGCAGCTCACAGTCAGCCGAATTAAAGCAGCCTGGGCTGACACAGGGGCTGCTACACTCGCAAAACAAAGTCAAGGAGCTCCACCGTATTTTTGATGCCACTTCCAGAGTTGGGCAACTACGAGGTTCAGAGCCTGCGTCTGAGTCCACTTTCCTCCGTACACCCTGGCCGTCGAGTGCATCGCCTTTCGCCTGTCTTTTTTCGCCCCCTTCTTCGTGCCAGCTTTTTTTCCACTGCTGCTTTCTGCTGGAGTGGGCCTTGTGAAGTAGCCCGCAAATTGGTTCAAGGCCGGTTGCCAATTGAGAATGCAGCCTGGTGCTTGGGGACGAAGATTCTTGATAAGCGCCGGGGTCCGCTCATTAGCTTTGTCGCGGCGCCAGCCTTCTGTCCTGAAGACCAACTCAGCCCGTTTCTCATCGTCAACAGCCACCTTGAGCGCAGCAAACTTGTCAAAGTCTGGTTCCGCAGACAAGACCTGCAGCACTGATGGCAGGCACTTGGAGGACTCTTCTCCGAGCTTGGAGAAGGGGGATTGGGCGTTCGTAGTCTTGTCCGAGAGCAGGCGTTTCACAACAGCCTGCTTTTCCGTGTCCGTGAGGTGTGTAAGGTACGTGGTGACCAGGGTCATCCTTGGCTGGAGTTCAGACAAGTGGCAAAGAATGTATATTCCACAAAGGCACTCGCCGAGCGCTATGTTTTCTCTATTCTTCCAAGTATCAAGTAGGACTCAGTGGATGTCCCTCCTTTGGGCTTCTTCTCGGGGGCGATGCCCACAGCAATGCACAAATCACGAGCGAACGTCATGTTCTGGGTGAAGCGACCATGCTGCAGCCAGAAAGATACCAGGCCCTCCTCATCACTGGTCTTCCTGAACAAGATGCCCCTCTGAGCATGTGGCATCGATCCAGGGAGCTCGCAAGGCATACCTGAGTGTGGAGGCCCGTAAGCTTTACAACTTAAGTGCAAGGCTGCAATCGAAACCTAGGTATGCCACGTGACACGCTTTGGTTGGGATTCCTTTCCACGGACTGTTCTCTTCTCCGCTTGGTTTGAAAACCTCTGTCAAACTCATCGTTCGAAATCGGTCCTTGCACTCCTTCAGCTCCAGTTCCGCCTCCGAGAGCAGAAAGAAGTCGTGTGAGCACGCGGTCGTTTTCCACAGGAAGGCAGTCTGAAAGTGGTACCCCAGACACAGGTACACATGCCCAGACTCACAGTCCCTGTAAAGAAATCCTTCTTGGAACAACTCTGTGCACCAGCAGCCGCCAATGTCTTTGAATTCGTGGCCGGCCAAGCATCTGAGGCTGCACAAAGCACCCACTGCACGATAGTCGCCCAAATGGCCAGCAGGCCTGGTGGCATCAAGCCTCGCATTGCCAATCCCAGCAGGGGCCTTCTTTCGACCTGCAAAAGGGGCCAGGCCAGGCGTGTTCAAGGACTGACTTACTGCTGGTGTTGTTTAGAGGCTCCCACCTGCGTCGACAATGGCTTTCAACTCCGTGTAAGTTTCCGAGCTCCTGTGCTTGCTTGGCAAAAACATATCTTTCCCCCTGGAAAAGTTCAGTGACTCCGGATTGCGCAGGTCACCAGGTTGCAGACCAATGCGTGGCCAAGCCTTGTCGACCCATCTGGGACTCAAGGCTGCGTGGAAAAACACCCGTTCCACAGACATTTGCAGTGGATTGCGATTGTCCTGCTTGTTCCTGTACGAGAGGTGCCCAAAGCAATCTTCGAGCACCTCCTTCGTGGATATCATAACATCAAAGAGCCTGTAGGCCTGAGCGTACAATCCTTCGAAGTCCCACCCAGTGCGCTGTCCCTCCGCCCACATTTCCTGCCAGCATACACCAGCATCAATTTCACTTGCAACAGTGACAGCTGACCGACTGACTCTCGAGAACGGCGACCTACAGCACCTGCAGTTTACACGCATCAATCAGATGTCCTGAACAATGAGCTCTTTGTGCACCCAGAGCTCGGCCAGCGTAGCTCCAACGCCCTGCAGAAGCAAGCATTTATCAAGCGGCATCAACACCTGTCCCTTCGGAAGTCGGATTCTCATGCTAAACACCCTGCTCCCCCTACCCCCTTTCCCGTAAAGAGAGAATGTGTTCTGGCAGGAAAAATAGTGGAAAAAGGGGATCTATGTATATGGTCAAACTTCTCAGAGGAAGGTAGAGGAAGCGCTACTTTACCCCCCCCCCCCCTAAGTCCTCGCAGTCGTTGCACTGCGGATCCTCTCGAAGCTGCAAAGCTTTCTGCACAGCTTCGCAGTCAGACTGGCACTGTTCCAGGGCCGATCTGGCGGCGTGGAGGTCCTCATCCAACAGACCTGCGAAGGCTTTCCCTGGGAGTTCGTACACAGCCATTGACCATGCCCCGGTTCCAATCACCATGCGAGCGAACGTCTCCGTGCGTTGCTGGGCTCCCTCGTCCCCAGGAGCTGTGCTGCGGATGTCAATTTCGCTCAGCACACCCTCATCTACTAAAAGCGCCAGGGTACTGGACACCACCTGACACCACGAGCGATTCGCCCAGCCCGCCTGCAGCGCCAAGTTCATGGCCCTGTCCTTGGTCGCTTCCATGATCTCCAGGTGTTCGTAGAAGAGCATGCGGCGGCTATAGTAGATCCTCATAGTGCAGACAGCGACAGCCAATGCCAGGATATCTGGCGGAACCTAAAACCCCACACTTCCCGCATGACCCTACTTCCCGTCGTGCTGAAACTGATGTGTGGCACATGGACGCCATCGCTCTGAAATCGTAAAACTGGAGAACGTCAGCCGCCACGTCCATGGTCGACTTTACACTCTGAAGCTCTTTCAAGGTTGCCTGCAGGTTCGCTCCATCAAAAGCGTTGCTTTCTGCCGCCGGTGCCAGGTCATCTCCGGATCCGATGTCCTCAGCCGACGTGCTACCAAACGCAAGTTCTTCCTACCTGCTGCACATTGCTTCTTCACATCTGCTTGCTAGCCAGGTGCCAGCTGCCCGCTAAGCTTCTTTCTGAAGTCGTGCACCTTTCGCACAAATGTCCAGTAAGGGCAGAACGCCTTCCAACCAGCGTCCCAGGAAAACCATCTGGACAAGGTCACCTCGTTTCCGTTTCCCGTATCTGTGAAAGCCCCCCCCCCCCCCCCCCCCCCCCCTACCCAAACACAACCGTGGCAGCCAGGACAAGTTCGGTCAAGCGGCCTCTGTGCCTGTCCACGTCGGAATGCCCTGTCTGCAAGCCTCATGCACGGCCTCTGGAGCTGCGCCCGCTGGCAGCTTGAGTTCTTTTTTCATGCGGCTGATGTCTTCCTGGAACCTGCGCACAAAAAAAAAAGAACTGACCAACTCAGGTAGCACACGCAGGCACTCTCCACAACAATCAAGCAAGGTACTCGTCTGATCTGGGCCCGAAGTAGTCCAGATACTGGTTGGCCAGGTAGGCAAGCTCGGCCCCAAATGTGTAGTCTGTCCACGGACGCTTGTTACAGCTCATGACGAGTCGGGTGCACGCTATCGCGCCTCAAAAGTTCAGTCAGCATTTCTACATCCACAAAAAACTAAAATCGATCATGTGAGACTGATGTGTCACACTGCTTCAACAAGGCTCTGGCCCCACAGCCCCTCCTGTTTTGCTGCGTGGTCCCCGTCATTCACCACACGGTGGTTCTCTTCCCGGCGAACCATCAGGCGCAGTCTGTTCTGGTACAGCAGGTGGTTTAGCGCTTTCATCCTCAGCTGGAGACACTCTGCTCTTCAGAGCGCTCAATGACTGGGCCATGCCAGGGCTTACCGTCTCACTCAGACCAGACACTGTTTGGGGTCCTCGTCACACGTGATGACCAAAGTCTTCCTTTCTGCGAGGGGTGGAAGGCTGGGCCCTGGCATGTTGGATGGCCTGAACTCATCAATGTTGATGCCTGCGCCGCGTTGCAGTGCGTGTGACAGGGCCTGGCATACTTTCAAGGGTTCCGAGTGCAGTCTCCGCGACTGCTTCTTGAACCTGTCCAATGCCCCTTCAGGTATCTGACGGCTCGCTTCTAGCTCCTGCGATCCACACACAAGGGTCCACAGTGAAACACATCACACAAAGTAGCCTGACTGTTTCACACCCGCTCCGCAATCTTCATACTCATGCGGATTTCTTCTTCAGCATCAGAATCACCCTGTCGCTCCAACGCGCCGGGCTCCAGCAATTCAGGACTGATCACCTGGGCTGGTGGCTTCAGCTTGTTTTTTTTTTAAGGTGGCAAACGGGCACTCCGAAAAGGGATGCAGCGCAGTCCGTGATCAGGCATTCTTTGCAGCATGTTTTTTTTCTTCTCAGGTTCCGCACCGCTGTGTGGCGCGAGAGCGATGAGCGGCTCAAGCTGATGTCGACTTAACAAAAAAAACGAGCACCTACGCTGCAACGGCGCATGACACTCTTGGCTTGATGACTGTTGCTGCTAACATAGACAAAAACTCACTCGCTCTATCTATTGCATGCCATGCCGGTGGTGCAAGCGCTGCGCTCTGCGGCACTGGAGCGACGCGAAGGCCGCGGCCAAGTCCAAAGCAAAATGCCAACCCTTAAACCTTCGAGAAAGTTCCGACTCGAATCCCTGCATGAACATATGGAAACCTGCACTGTCTATGGCCAGCGGCCTCTGCTAGGCACTGCCAGACGCTGAGCTCCAAAACAAGACTTCGGCTGGAGGCCGGTCCCAGTGAAAGTCAGGACAGGTTTGGGTGATTAGAGCGTAACCACAAGTTCACCCTAAACCCTGCACCCCAAACCCTAAACCCTAAACCCTAAACCCCATACCCTAAACCCCGAACCCTAAACCCCAGACCCTAAACCCTAAACCCTGAACCCTAAACCCTAAACCCTCAAACATAACCCTTAAACCCTGAACCCTGAAGCCTGAACCCTAAACCCTACACCCTAAACCCTAAACCTCAACCCTAAACCCTAAACCCTGAACCCTAAACCCTAAACCCTGAGCCCTAAACCCTAAACCCTAAACCCTGAACCCTAAACCCTGAACCCTAAACCCTAAACCCCAACAAAGAAGTCCCTAAAACCCTCAACCTTAGGCATAGGGCCCACAGCCTTGAAATCCGAAGCCTAGGTCAGATTGAAGCTCTAGGGTCCTAAGCCCCTAGTAATTCCAAGCCCAAAGAACCCTAAGCGTTACCTTCCCAAGCCTTTCAGGGTTTAGGGTTTAGGGTTTAAGGTTTAGGGTTTAGGGTTAGGGTTTAGGGTTTAGGGTTTAGGGTTTAGGGTTTAGGGTTTAGGGTTTAGGGTTTTAGGGTTTTAGGGTTTCAGGGTTGAGGGTTCAGGGTTGAGGGTTTAGGGTCTGGGGCTTAGGGTTTTGGGGTTTAGGGTATGGAGTTTAGGGTTTAGGGTGTAGGGTTTATCTACGGATTGGGGTTTAGGGTTTGGGGTTTAGGGTTTAGGGTTTAGGGTTAAGGTTTAGGGTTTTAGGTGTTAGGGCTCAGGGTTGAGGGTTCAGGGTTTTAAGGGTTTAGGCCAGAGGTTGGGTTGGGGGGTTGTGGGTTGTTGTGGGTTGGGGGGTTGGGAGGGTTGGGGGCTGGGGGGGGGGGGGGGTTGGGGGGGTGGGGGGTTGGTGGGTTGGGGGTTGGGGGGTTGGGGTGGGGGGTTGGGGGGTTGGGGGTTGGGGGGGGGGGGGGGTTGGGGGGTTTGGGGGTTGGGTTGGGGGGGGTTTGGGGGGTTGGGGGGGGGTTGGGGGGGGGGTTGGGGGGGGTTGGGGGGGGGTTGGGGGGGGGTTGGGGGGGTTGGGGGGGGGGTGGGGGGGGGTTGGGGTGGGGGGGGGGGTGGGGTGGGGGTTGGGGGGGGTTGGGGGGGGGGCGGGGGTTTGGGGGGTGAGGGTTTGGGGGGGGGGGGAAGAGGGGGGGGGTGGGAGGAGTATGGGCTGAGGTCTAAAAAAACACGCCCACAATGGGGGCAAGGCAACTCCTCCCAACTCCCGTCGCTATCTCGGTACTATGTGTGCTGCCATGTGACCGGCCTCAAAACCTCAAAATCCCCACACGCCGAAGACTTCAATCTACATTGCCGTCTTTGCTGGCAGCTTTGGGGCGGCTGGGGTCTTCGTGCTTGCTGTGACCTTAGCCGGTGTGGCTTTGGCGGAAACAGGCTTTGGGGGCGGGGCAGGGAGGCTCGGTGCCTTAGGCAGCTCCGGGCCAGAGCCAGGCGCCTTGGGAATGGAAGGGTCAATGCCAGATTCCTTCGGTGGCGCCTTTGGGCTGGGAACATCCGAGGGACTTGGGGCGGGAGCCTCTTTGGGGATGGCAGCGTCTTTCGGGATGGCAGCCTCGGCTGCCTCTTTCGGGATGGCTGCGTCCTGCAAGGGCACGGCTTCCTCGTCCTCGTCCAACTCCCCATTGCGTTGAGTGGACCAAGTCTCCTATGGTTTAGGGTTTAGGGTTTAGGGTTTAGGGGTTTAGGGTTTAGGGTTTAGGGTTTGGGGTTTAGGGTTTAGGGGTTTAGGGGTTTAGGGTTTAGGGTTAAGGGTTTAGGGTTTAGGGTTTAGGGTTTAGGGTTTAGGGTTTAGGGTTTAGGGTTTAGGGTTTAGGGTTTAGGGTTTAGGGCGTTTAGGGCCATATCCCACAAACACTCCCTGGTCCATAGAGGTACATTGACATGTAAAGGGTTGAACCATTACAATTGAAAGGTAAATTAGGCATCGTGCTGCAGACCCCGAAAAGTTGAAGTTAAAACATGACTCACCCCTCGCATCACTACGCCAGTCAACCTATGTTCATGCCAAGTTTTGCGCCTTCAATCTCCTGGGTGTCATCGAGTCCTGGCGGTCAAGCAACTCGTCCGCCTGGGATGGACATGACTACTGATTGGAGCTCCAGCTCCTTCTAGGGCCTCTACTGAAACTTCTTCACCCCAAAACACTATATACATGATACCCCCTTACACCCGGCCCCCCAAGCTAGACTGAAGAAACCCAGTAGCGTACATCATCAGGCCCAGCTGAGGCGAGCTGACAAACTCTCGCTTGTTGAGGCGATGCCTCTCCACAAACCAGTCCGGGGCCTCGCTCAGGACAGCCACCTTCTCCGGATCCCTGACGGACACTAGGAGAGGCTTCTCCTGTGTGTCATACACAACGATAAACTCGGTCTCCAGGGCCGACGCCTCGCTCTTAGGCGTGCCCGGCACGTGGTACTCGTTCGGCAGTTGGCCTGTACTTGCTCCGGCAAGTGGGCCTGCGTCCTCCGTGCGAGTGAAGGCACCAGGCTCAAACTCAGTCACCTCTTCAACTTCCAGGAAGTCTGAAACCCAGGGATTGGTGATGCCGTTCGACAAGTACGGCCGCTGGTCCCTGAGCTATCGTCCAGTCAACCAAGAGAAAACAAGTCAGACTATTTATCCCGGACCCTCTACAAGCCCTAACAGTCAAGCAGCAAGAAACTCCAGTAGATAGTCTCCTGGTAGGGTGTCGCGTGTGACGGGGTAAGCCACACCGACGAGGTGCCATTGGTCAGGGCCTGGTAGTCCCCGTGCCAGTAGACGGAAAGGTTAGCAGTCACCCGGTCGCGTTCGGATCTCATGTGGCGGATCCTGGCCAGGATCATCTTGGAATTCATGCCTTGGAGGCAATCGAGCAAAACTGTACAATGTCATTAGCGCCGGTTTAGGGTTTAGGCTTTAGGGTTTGGGGTTTAGGGTTTAGGGTTTAGGGTTTAGGGTTTAGGGTTTAGGGTTGAGGGGTACAGGGTTTAGGGTTCACTGCCGAGAGTCTTGGACTGAGCTCACCATTGTCGATGCGCAGGTAGACATTGTCCAACAAGCCAGACATGAAAGAACCGCCTGCAGACACGTGCCGCGGCAGAGATTGGAAGCCAAACTGACACCTGAATCCGACAATTGAGGCGAGCACGAGCGTCCTCACCATCAGAGGAACGAGGCTTGTGGCTTGGGTCAATTCCCCCAAGCCAGGCGACCACCTCCTAGGAACAGCTTTAGGGTTCCGTTGTTTAGGGATTGGGGTTCACCTGTTGAGTTTAAGGGGTCGGGTCGTACTGCGACGAGTTGAGAGCTTCGGTCCGGGAAATCGTGGAAGGCATCTAGGATTAAAACCTAAACTTCAGAGACTGGAAAAAAAACTAAGCACCTCTTAGCCTTATGAACCTTTGGAACTCTAGACCCCCCCCCCCCAAAAAAAAAAAATTACTAAACGAGCCCCCCCCCCCCCTCCCCCCAAATAACAGAAACCAAAAACAAAGGTGACTGGTGATCACAGGACTTTGGGGCGGCAGTGGCAAACTGAATAGCTATCCAAGAAACTGTGAGATCGGTATTGTCCATTGCCTGGATGACAGTGTTGTTAAACTGGCGCCGGTCCAGTTGGTGGAGAAAGTCCTGCTTGTCGTACAAGGGCATGTGGTACAAGTCCTGGGCGTCGTTGCGGACACCCCTGGTCGGCTTGGCAGCCCGTGACGTTCCCTGCCCTTTGGGCGCACCTGCGAGGGTCAAGAAAAAAAAAACGAGAAGAATTGCACGCCACACGCATGCCTGTCAGCACACGCCCCTGGCACAAATCTCGATCTGCCTGTTGGTCGCTTTGGAACCGAAGGCCGACGACTAGGCGCCGAGTCCCATGTCCCTGCTCCACTCGGGCCGCTTGAGCCTTCCTTGCCCTTGCCTGGCTGCGGGGCATACCCACCTTTGCCTTTGGCCCACGATGGGGGGATGCCCGCAGGCGGCGGGGGGCCCTTCGTACCCTTGCCTGCTGCGAGCGGCGTCGGAGCTCCGTGCATTGCAAAGGGGCCTCTACACGACGCGGCTGCTTCAGTCTAGGTAAATGGCTGCGAGCACCATCTGATAGAAGAGACATGCCGGACTTTACTGCTGGGTCACCACACTGTGTGTCGCAGAGCCCCAGCACCACGCATCCTCTTTGCGCGCCCTGTGCACACACTCGCGAGATTTCACAGAGACTGGTCCATCACCTCGAGCAGGTCTGCCCATGTGTATGCATCCGTCTTGCGTCTTGCACACAAGAGCATGCAGGCTGCAAAAGTTCCGACTTGAGCTACGTGCATGGAGTTGCCTAAGGCTGCACGCATGTCATGCCACGTGACCCCGGGCACAAAGACTCGATAGGCGTGTTTTAGGAAATTCCTGTAGCACACGTCAAAAGTCAAGTAGCCCATGGACAAATACATTTCCCTCAAGAGGAGATGTCGCGAGTAAGCCGGCAGGTAAAATATACCGCCGGATTGGCGGAACGCCGGCAATCGTCCGGAGATCGCACTCCATGTCGTCCACCCCCCCCGCGGGGTTGTCGCCCAAATGGACCACAAGATCTGACCAGGAGCATTTCTTGCCCAAGGACAAGGTCGCAAATTTCTTCAGGTACTCTCTCAGTCGGTTCTTTTCTGCAGGGTGCAGAATTTGCGAGCAGTCCAGATCTGCAGCCGAGGCGGGGAGGAGAGGTGCAAGCTGGCGTGCCTTAGCCAGGTGCCACAGGTCTTGTGCTATGTCTTCGTCGGATGCCACCAGAAGAGAACTGGGCCTGCAGGGTGAATGTACAGGAGCAAGAGCAGGCAGATATACAGCTTAACTAACAAGCCAGCGGAGCTTAGCAAACCAGTGGGTCATGTGGAGCCAGGCCTAAAATTCACCGGTTCTCTTCGGACAACGTTAAAGACGTGCTGGAGCAAGTGCTGCGGATCAAAAACGCAGTCCGTGGTCTCGGTGTTGATTGCGCCCATGTACAGCCTGCTCCACATGTGGCAATCCTATTTAATGAACTTCGCTAGAGTTGACAGTCCCTCTTGCCCGAAGCCCGAACTTTCAAGCTAGTGCGTCGCACGATGTTTGCATTGAGTGGCCTGGGCCTGTTGACGCAGCTGAAACCCACGTCGCAGGGAGAGAAGACTTGCTCCACGCACCATGTGTAACTGCCGCCGAAAGCATCCGTTACCAACTCCCTGGGGCACGACTCCACATTCTCAATGCACAGCAAGTCGTTCTGAGTCTCCTGAGCCTTCCGGCCGTAGCCCAAAATCACAGGCAAGCGAGGTCCTGCACAACCTAGCTGCTTGCCAGCCCTGGAGAAATCCTGGCAAGGGAACCCTCCAACTCTCAACACCGATCCTGTGCGCAGCGGGCACCACTGTTCGTGCTGCAGGCACCAGCAGTGCGCTTTGGCAGGCAAAGAGTTGGCGCACTCAAGCTTTCCCACGTAACTGTCTTCTTCCATGATGCAATCATAAGCCGCCCTTGCCCCGCACTCGTATATATCAAGAACATCACCAAACATGCAGCAATCTTTCGAGATGCGGTGGCTCAGGGAAAGCCGCATTGTAGAATGATTTTCCTCGGCGCACAGAAACTGGAAAGTTGAACTAGCTTACAGCCGAACCAAACCCAGACACACAAGACGCTTTACAGATAAAGGGCAAACGAAAGAAAAAGGGTGGCAGGGAGGGAGAGGGGGGGAGAGGGAGAGGGAGGGAGAGCTTGAGGGAGAGATAGAGGGGGGGGGGGAAAGGGAGAGCCCAGACGTCGCAAAACTCAAGCAGTCCCAGTGGCACAAGTGGAGCGAGTGCCCAAGTCTACTTCATAGCACCAATCAGCTGCCTCTGCTGCAAGGTTGTCGCTGGCAACTTCCCATCCGGCGGCGCCGCCCGAGAAGTCGGAGTCCGACCCCTGGCCTAACAAGAAAGCCGACCTGTCAATGGTCGAAGTGGCCAAGCACTGCTGCGCACATTTAATTACGCGCCGCGGCCACTCAAATGCATATCGAAGAGCGCCATCCATGTTCACTAGCAGCCACTAGCAGCCACTAGCACACTGCACAAGCGGGTTTCGAGCCACTGGTGGCCCTGGCGTGGAACCCACAGGGTCAACAAACACCGATCTGATCACACATGTAAGTCATTATATTCAGCCCAGTAGCTTGGAAAGGAAGCACAGTTCCAGCATTATTCTGATTCGACCACAGGATGAAGAAGTTGGCCTTCTTCTTCGTCGGGTTGCCACCGTCCACCAGTACCTGAGTCTCAGGGAAGCTTTGGGAACCAGCGCGCTTGTTTTACAGTAGAGCATATGCTGTAGAGACGTGTCTTGGGCAGGGGGCCTGGAAGTAGTTGTTGCCTGCGTATTCCACATGGTTTCGGTGCACAAGCGCGCTGGCAAAGTCCTGACGATTGATTTTCTACAAACGCGTCTGTTATAATGGGACTGTAGCCACATGTCACAGTTTCAGTCCTTGTGAATCACCCACGCTTGCTGTCTGTTGTAACCCATGTCACGCAGCGCATTTTCCAGAGTAGCTTGCTCGCCCGTTTGGACTTTGCGGACTGCTGCCTCCTTGATGGCGGCCGGCATAGCTGTAAAGTTCAATTTCTCAAGCTTTTCACCCCGTGGCTCAGCATAGGAATAGAAGTGGGAAGCCATTAATTCAGTACATTGCCTGACTAGGAGTAAAGCGCACTCATAGCACTTCGCATCCCCATCTAGCAGCAATGAAGGCACAAGCTCCGCGAGAGCAACGCATGCCTGGGAGTCAAGGCGTTGAACACTCAACGTTATGTGTCTACTGTACGTCTTGCACAGACAAACATCTCACATACATGAGTTTCGTGAATAACCTGAGTAAGGCGCCGAATTGGATGTGACTACCTTCTGACTGTCTGGTTGGCCAGCCAATTCCCTGATAGATTGCTGTAGCCTATCCCAGAATCCTTGCCACCAAGCTTGTTGAACGAACCTGTAAAGCCGCAAGTCATCAAGGAGACATTGCCCGTTTCGTATGTGAAGCTCTGCGTTGCCCGGCAAGTTGAGGAAGTCAACATCAATTTTGCCATCACTGATTGGAGACAAAAAATCTCTGAGAATCTGGGCTGCCCTGAGCGCTTCAGGAATTACTGGGCACACTCCACTAACGAGTTTCGATCGACAAAGCAAGCTAGATGCTGGCGAGAAGCTGCACCCTGTTCTCCCACTCCCTGTTGGGCGAGGCTGTGAAGTGCACAAGCTGGCACAAGATACTGGAGGTGGAGCTGAGAATCTCTGTAGTGCCAGCCAACAGATGGTCTGGGATCACACTTGGCCCGGAACGCAAAGGCCGGTTTCGATGTTTGCTGCAGACCTCATATAGCGAAGTCTGTTCCAACAAGAGCCCGAATGTGACATTGACAAGAGGAGGCAGCAAACATCACAAAGGTTGCCAAAAGAGCTACTCTTCAACTAGTATAGGACCACGTTGCTGCCCAGGGAGGAGGTTCTGCTTCCGGGAAGATCTTTGAAAAGATACGCAGCAAAGCGTTCTCGATTTTCTGAAGGAGTGTGAAATAGTTCCTACAGGGTCAATGTTGAATGTATGGGCACTGTGAAAGAGACAGTACTGCAGATTCGTGACCTTGTCGCTGCTACGGCGGACGCAAGGCTCCTTGCTGCTCGTTCCGGGTGACAAGCTTCGAAGAAACGTTGGACTGACCAGACCACTTCACCCGTGGGTGGAACATAGTACATAATCACTTGCTGCAGCAGGGAGCATGGCTTGCTGGGGAAAGTGAACTCTTCCAAGGCCATGCTTTCTTCTTTGGGCCGATGCCCTGCGGATTCTCTGTTTCCTGACCGACTCACCTGTCATGCACACACACACACACACACACAGAGGTTAAGGGCCAAGATAGCACTATATAGCACTATATAGCACGATATAGCACGATATAGAGACAATATGGGCCTATATAGGAGCGGAAGACAGAGGGAGTCTCAGGGAGTAGTTCCCAGACTCTTAGATAAACCCAAACCCCAAACCCCAAACCCTAAACCCTAAGGGCCCTCTTAGCCCTAAACCCCTCAACCCACATCCTTAAAGCCGCCATCGCAGGCCTGGGAGGCTTTGGGCGCCTGGACCGCAGCCTCCAGAACACAACGAATTCGGAGCAGGCTTCAGGGCTTTAAGGGCTTTAGGAGCTTTAGGGGCTTTAGGGGTTTTAGGGGCTTTAAGGGTTTTAAGGGCGTTAAGGGTTTTAAGGGTTTCAGGGGTTTTGGGCTTTAAGGGTTTAAGGGCTTTAGGGCCTGTAAGGGCCTTAAGGGTTTTAGGGCTTTTAAGGGCTTAAAGGGCGGGTTTTAAGGATTTATATAATCGTTCAAGGGCCCTGTAGGCTTTTAACGGTTCAGCGGTTTCGGGTGAGAATTACAAGGCTTCATTCAGGCTTAGGACTCCGTAAGCCCTGGCGGCCTGAGCTCTAACCCCAAACCCTAAACCCTAAACCCTAAACCCTAAACCCTAAACCCTAAACCCTAAAACCCTAAACCCTAAACCCTAAACCCTAAACCCTAAACCCTAAACCCTAAACCCTAAACCCTAAGGTTGGTTCGCGGTGGCCTGCGGCGGAGGTGCTTTCACCAAGGGGGCCGGGGCCTCCGCCTCGCGAGGGAGATTGGGAAGTCAGGGTTTAGGGTTCAGTGTTGCATCCGAACCCTAAACCCTAAACCCTAAACCCTGAACCCTAAACCCAGAACCCTGAACCCTAAACGCTAACCTGCTGTGAGCTTACAAGGTTGAGGGTTCGTGATCAAATATCTGCTCCGATTCAAGGCTTCCCCTACAGAGCCTGGTGCCAAAGCAGGAACCACAAGTTAAACCTAAACCCGAAACCCTAAACCGCCAAAACCGGAAAGCCTAACACCCAAAAAGAGCAGCATGGTTTTTTTTTGGCGGAGCCCCGGATCTATAGCGGAAAGCATCGACTCCCTGAAACAGGTCCTGCCACGGCATGTCCCGCTATCATAGTTTGGAGCTGAGGCTTTTAGGGCTTTAGGGCTTGGGGCGGAGTGGCCATTTTCGACATTGAATTTAAAGCAAAATTTCGATGTTTATGCAAATCTTCAAACTGGGCAAGACCGGCTCAAGGACCAGCAAACACTGAACTGCCCTTGAACCCATGAACCCTTAAACCCACATCCCCCTAAACCTTCAACCCGTCTAAATCCCCGAAGTCCCAGACACCCTGAAACCCCAAACCTTAAACCCTGCCCCCCACCCTCCCCCCCCCCTCCCCCGCCTCCTAAAAAGCCGAAACCCTAAACCCCCTTAAGCCCTGAACTCCCTTAAGCCCTAAACCCTAAACCCGAAACCCTAACCCCCCCAACCGCCTGCGGAGCTACGTTGGGCTTCCTGGGCACAACAGCTTGGGAATTTAGAGCTTTAAGGTTTTAAGTTGCTATGTAAGGTTTAGGGTTTAGGATTGACGGTTTAGAGCTTCGGGGCATCAGGATTCTGAATTGCTTAGGGTGTTGGGGTTGCAGTTTCTAAGGGCTGTTGGTGACGAAGACCATGCTACTTCGCTACAGGGAGGAGGGAGTATTCTGAGCCCACGTGTAAGGCTTAGAAACTTTCAGGGTCGGTAGGAGTTTAGGGTTTAGGGTTTAGCTCCCAGGGCAGGGCTGGGCCCTTCTGCCCACTCCGGTGGCTGCACAGCCGGTCGCCGCGCAGCCCAGGCCACGCTCGTTTCCCCGGCCTCCCTGATTGCGAAGGCCGCCAAGTTGAACCCCGAATTCCGCTGCTGGTAGCGCTTAGCGCCTTCTCGGTGCTCCTGGCCCGGGGAAGCAAGGAGAGTCGCTTGGTTCTGGCGAACCTGAGCTCCCAGGGAGCAAAGAGTCCCTGTTTGGCTGCGGCTGGGCCACCGGAAAGGCAACAGCCATGACTGGGAGTGAGACAAATCCGAACGGAGGCGGGTGCAACCGGACGAACACAGACCATGGTCAGAATTTGAGCTTAGGGTTTATGGTTTGGAGTTTAGGGTGCTAGGGTTTAAAAAGAGGTTTCAGGGTTTAGGGGGGGCTAGTTGAATTTGAACGGGTATTTTGGACCTAGGAAAGATAGTAGCTTAGACAGATTTAGCTGTAGCAGCCTAGACACACGGCTGCGTACTGTAACCCTTAAACCCTTTCAACCCCAACAACCCGAAACCCGAAAGCCCTTTAGCCTTTCAACCCTGGACATCAAACCTTAAAAACCCTGTAAGCCCAAAACAACTTCTATAAACACGCTATTCCCTCTGTAAACCCCCGAAGCCCCTTAAGCCCCTAACTGCACCAGCATCTCCTCACGGTGGTTCGTGTGGTGGGTTTCCCTGTGGATTGTGGTTCATGCTGGGTTTAGGGTGAGGCTTTAGGCTTAAGGTTTAGGGCTCCACCAATGGTTGATAGTGGGTCTTGGTTTTAAGGTTAGGCTTTAGGCTTTGGGGGCTTAGCGTTGGTTGAGGGTTTAGGTGAAGGGGTTTAAGTTGAGGTTGTAGGGTCGCCCTCTGAGCCGTGTGGTTCGTGGTGGGTTCAGGGTTAAGGGTTGAAGGTTGGGTGTGGGCGGTGGAGAACGCAGAGCGCGGACACGCATCACTACAGGCCCTCTACATACCCTGCAACCCCTGCCCTTGCGAGGCATGGGCTTGATGAAGGTATCCGCCAGCAGGGCCGCCGCTTTCGCTTCCACCCTCGTGCACGAGGGTTTGCTTCAGGAAACCCCCAGCCGAAAAAATCAACCAAAAGTCCGAAGCCAGAAGCCCTGAAGGGTATCAAAAAGTGCCTAAGTCCGAAAAGGCAGCGATTGTTTCTTTCGTAAGCGTTCCTCCAGCCTAGCACCCCTGACAAAAGTATTCCCAAATATGATCTTCTTAACCCCAAGAAAAACTATCCCAAAACAGGGTTGATATAGGGTTTGTAGGGTTTATGCTTTGGGTTTAAATCGGTTTCGGCCGATCTCCTGCGCCCCGCCCCTAAACCCTAAACCCTAAACCCTAAACCCTAAACCCTAAACCCTAAACCCTAAACCCTAAACCCTAAACCCTAAACCCTAAACCCTAAACCCTAAACCCTAAACCTAGACCCCTTCCCCCCCCCCCCCCCCCCCTCTTTGTGGTTTCGGGATGTGTCTTTGGGGCGTGTCGGTGGGGTCTGAGGTACAGGCGCTTTCTGAGTCTGGGCCAGGCGGGCCTTCTCTTCACCTGGGCTTCGGATTTAGGGGATGAGGGTTTAGGGTTTATAGGGTTTAGAGGGTTTGTAGGGTTTGTAGGGTTTGTCGGGTTTGTAGGGTTTGTAGGGTTTGTAGGGTTTCCAGAATTTCTAGGGTTTAGGCCTTATAGGGCTGATATATACATATATATGTATATGGTTCTAGGGTTTATATATGTATATGTATAGGGTTTAGGGTTTAAGGATTTGGGTCAGGGGTGGGAGTGGCGTCACGTACTAAACCATGAAGGCCAGGTTAAACGGGCCTTCTGACGGTACAGTAGCGATTCGCGCGGCGATGTCGGCCGACGGACCTTCAGTGAAGGGCCGAAGACGGAAGTTGCAGGCCCCCTAGTCTGTGAACCCCTACCCTAAACCCTGTTGAAGTTCAAGTTCGAGGTGTAAGACCCGCTCTTTGAGGCTGCACATCAACATCTTGTCCTGCTGTCGGGCATGAGCTTGTCGCAACCGCCGGACTTTTCTCAACTCACGGTTCCATGAGCTCTCCGTAACCTGCATGGCTTGGGCCATCTGCGCGATCTCTGTGCATGGGAAGCCTACACTCTGACCGCCGGGATGCCTTGAGCATACGGCAGCCCGAAAGTGCAAGTTGAGAGATTGCTGCTGACTGGTGCTTGAAACAAAGAGGCGCTGCAAAACACCCCCCGTTTCGCAGACCGCAGGGCGAGGCCTGCGAAATCACTTGCAGTGCATCATCAGCTCCCGCCGCCCTAGCCACCAGCGCTGGCCTCAGATCTTTCCATCGAAAGGCCTTCTTGTTCCTCACTATCACTATCGGATCCTATGTAGAACTCGCCGTGATGTCTTGCGCTACCGTCCCATCCGTCTCCATACATGTTGTAGTAAAAGCTTTCGAGGAATGGAGATGATGCTTCCGTCAGTGACATCGCGGCTTCCTTCCATGTCCACAGGTTATCACGCAGAGGTTGCACCAGGTACGTCTGACCATGTCGGCGGACATCCTGCGTCACAGTCTGAACCCCAGAGCTCCGTACCGAAGGTGCTTCGGCTTGCTTTCGCTTCAGAACGGCTGACTCTTGTGATGCAGGTGTACCTCGGCAAGCGACTGATTCCGGAGCGATTGCTTGCGTATGTTCATAATCCATCATCTGGAGTGTCCTTCTGCCTCCCCCCGGCACACCTCGTCCTCGTCCAACATTCAATCTCACGCTGTCTATGTCGCCATTGCCCACCACCCCTGTCTCAGCGTGAGCCACAAGGCTCTTAACCTGTTGAAGTTCAAGTTCGAGGTGTAAGACCCGCTCTTTGAGGCTGCACATCAACATCTTGTCCTGCTGTCGGGCATGAGCTTGTCGCAACCGCCGGACTTTTCTCAACTCACGGTTCCATGAGCTCTCCGTAACCTGCATGGCTTGGGCCATCTGCGCGATCTCTGTGCATGGGAAGCCTACACTCTGACCGCCGGGATGCCTTGAGCATACGGCAGCCCGAAAGTGCAAGTTGAGAGATTGCTGCTGACTGGTGCTTGA